TAATATGATTATGTTGTAAATTAGTTATGTTCTAAAGTTACTTCTTGTGTTCTAAATTTTTCTAGTTATATTCTAGTTATTTCTAATGTTCTAAATTTTTTTCCAACTATTTCTATGTGGTGTCCTTATTGTTTCTACTTATGGTTTGATGTCCCAGAAAATCAAGAAGATAATGAAGCCACTTACGAAGAAGTGACAGCAAATGTTCTAAATTGTGCTTTTCTGAATCCAGATCATCCACCTACATTGGATGAAGAGGAGAAGCAAGAGGAGAAGAAAGAAGAGGAAAAAGAGGAGAAGAAAGAAGAAAAGGAGAAGAAGAAAGAAGAGGAAAAAGAGGAGAAGCAAGAAAAGGGGAAGAAGAAAGAAGAGGAAAAAGAGAAGCAAGAGAAGAAGAAAGAAGAAAAGGAGAAGAAGAAAGAGGAGGAAAAAAAGGAGATCCAGGAGGAGAAGAAAGAAGAAAAGGGGAAGAAGAAAGAGGAGGAAAAAGAGGAGAATCAAGAGGAGAAGAAAGAAAATGAAGGAAGCAAGAATGAAGAGAAGAACAAAGAAGAAAAAAATGAGAACAAGAAAGGGTAATCATTTTGTAAACATTAGATCTTTAGGTTAGAAATATTTACAAAAGTTAGGTTAAACTTTAAAACAAATGTTGGTTATGGTTTAGTTAAATTATAATTTAGATCTTGGTAATAATAAATTTTGGTTTGATTTGGTTATGGTTTTTGTTATCTATAAATTTTGGTTTGATTTAGTTATGGTTTTTGTTATCTATGTGATATTTTTTAATTGAATTAAGTAGGAAACAAGGAGAAGAAAAAGGAGAAGAAAAGACACGGAAAAAAAGAGGAAAGGATAAGCTTCCAATGTACTTGCGTTCACCTTTCATGGTTGAACATGAAAAACTTTTCAAGAATGTGGACAATAGAAAGGTAGCTGAGTATGCGTTTGCTCAAGGAGATAATAAGTAAGACTTTAAAACTTTAAAATTATATGGTTATGTTCTAAACTTTTTGCTTATGTTCTAAACTAAATGTTCTAAGTTATAAGTTATAAATGCTTATGTTCTAAGTTATATGGTTATGTTATAAGTTATATATGCTTATGTTCTAAGCTATATGCTTATGTTCTAAACTATATGATCTAAGCTATAAATTATGTTCTAAACTTCATTCTTATGTTCTAAACTGCGTGTTCTAAGCTACGAGATTATGTTATAAAGTACATGTTTAAAACTATATGCTTATGTTCTAAAATAGGTACTTATGTTCTAAACTATATTCTTATGTTCTAAATTATGTGTTTATGTTCTAAACTACATGCTTATGTTCTAAATTACATGCTTATGTTCTGATTTTATTTTTCTGATTTTAGGGAGCTTTTGTATGCTGATAACATGGGGACAACGATTACGAGAGATGAGATTCATAGTCTCATAGAAGATAACCACATGTTGAACAATGTTGTGGATGCTTATGTTTGCCTATTGAATTTTGAAAATAAAAGACGTGGTGTAGACAAGAAGAGTAGATTCTTTTTCACTACTGAATGCTATGTATGTTTTCGAACTTAAAATTATAACTATGTTCTAAGTATCTTACTTATATTCTAATTTTTGTTCCTCATATAGATTATACTATGCACCTATGTTCTAATTACTTATGTTTTAATTTCTTTTTCTTTTTCAGCTCATACGTTGTACAAAAAAATACTTCAAATCAAATGAAATGCAAGAAGATAGAATGAAGGCTTTGTTTGATAGAATTCAACAAGAAATGACAACGGCCGAAGTAACAAGCTTCAAAAGCATTCAATTGGTAACTTGGTATCTTATTATGTTGTACTTTTTCTTATTATATGTTCTAATTATTGGTTTTGTTTATGTTCTAATTATTTTTATCTATGTTCTAAAGTATCAGCTTATGTTCTAAACTACTTATTTATCTTCTAAACTACTTATTTATGTTCTAAAATACATGTTATAAAAATTATATGCTTGTGTTCTAAAATATATGCTTATGTTCTAAAATGCATGTTTATGTTCTAATTCTGTTTATCTATTAGGTTTTCTTCCCGGTCATTTTACCAGATCACTACTATTTGCTGTGTGTCAACTTTGTGGAAGGAACATTTGATTTGATTGACAACAGATTTCTTCCACCAAATATTCCTTTTCAAAATAAATATGGAAATTACCATAGATTAATGGTAAGACATCAAAATTTACATTTTTTTTAATTATACTTTTATGGTCTAACTTTTGCCTTATATGTTCTAAAGTTTTCCCTTTATGTTCTACAGTTTTTCTTTATGTTCTAAAGTTTACCTTATATGTTCTAAAATTTATCCAATTTTTCAGTTGAATGCATTTGGTGATTTCGTTCACTCAATTGACTCAAATATAAAGAGTGACTTCGTATCCTCCTTCAAAACAAGAAACTTGAGTATGTCATGGAAGAGCAATAAGAACAAACATGATTGTGGAGTGTTCCTATTGAGCACATGGAAACATATGAAGGAGAATTTGTAAAACAATGGAATTCGGGACTAGAATTAGACAATGTAAGTTTAAAACATAACATACATGTTTTAAATTAGTTTTGTTTATGGTTTTGGTGTTATGGTTTTAGTGTTGTGGTTTGGTTTGTTTATTGTTTAGATATGTTATGGTTTATTATATTTATTTATGCTTATATGCTAAATTATATTCATGTTCTAAATTATATGCTTATGTTCTAAAGTATTTCTGATTATGTTCTAATAATTATATGCTTATATTTTAATTTATTATTGTTTATGTTCTAAAAGTTACTCTTTTTTTTTTTTGCAGTTTGACCAAATGAAAAAATTAAGAGTGGAGTATTGTGGGAAGATAATAACAGCAGAAGTAAATGAAGAATGGAATAGAGTGATTAGGAGATCAAAAAAGTGGTCAAAGGAGAACAAAATGGATATATGATTGTTAAGATGTTAAGTTTATATTTGTAGAGAGATATTTGCAAAGAATATAACAATAATTTCTTTATTTGTTAACTAATAACAAGTTAAAATTTACCCTAATACTAAATCTACCTTCTTATGTTCTATGTATTTACCTGTTACAAGAAATATATTGTTGAATCATATTAAATGCTAAAATTTTAATATAAAATATATCATATAAACTTATATGCTAAATTATATTCATGTTCTAAATTATATTGTTATGTTTTAAAGTATTTTTGATTATGTTTTAATAATTATATGCTTATATTTTAATAAGCATTTCAATATCTTTTGTTTTAGTGGAAAAAATAATATGATATTAAATTTACACGAATTTGAATTTTTTTTCCATTTGCAAGTAAATGAGATTATTTTAGAACATGATTATTTTAGAGCATATTGAATTACTTTAAAACATAAAGAATAATTTTAGAACATAGAAATTAACCTTAGAACATAGATAAAACACTTTAAAACATTAAATGAATTATATTAGAACATAATAAAATAATATTACATGACATATATATTAGTTTAAAACACTAGAGATTATGCTTGGAAAAATAAGAATATTAATTTTAAAAACAAAGTATAAAGTTAGGATATTAGAATATATTATTATATATTAATTTTAACTTAAAAATTAAAGTGTAGAACATTAGAACATAAGATAATTAAAAAAAAGTAACAAGAAATGACAACGGCCAAAGTAACAAGATTCCAAAGCATTCAATTGGTAACTTGATTCTAATTATATCTTATTATGTTGTACTCTTTAGTGCATATCTAAGAAGGCATATGTAAATCAATGTTAAGAAACTTGAATAAATAAAAGTTGATTAAAGCAAGATTCAACTAAATGCTACTCAATAAAGGTATCTAAAATGCTTGTACTATCATTACTCATAGTTTAAATTGACTTAATAAAACAACTTATAATTACGAAAAAGGGGGAAGATGAAAAGACAGGAGATGTTATAAAAGATTATAATCAACTTTAATTAACATAAAAATTGATAAGAAAAACACTAGTAGAGATACTCTGAATAATAATTGGACAAAAAAGAAATAAAAATATATTGTCTCTAAAAGTAAATAAGATTGAGTTCTTATATTTTAAGAATTACATGAATAATATTTACGTGCTAGTAAATGAGATATTGTTTCTAAATAATAGTATATTCATCAACCTGTAAAGAAAAAAAAAACAATATTAGAACATAAGCACATAATTTAGCATCAAAAAATGTTATAACATGCCATTTGTATTAGTTTAGAACACATGATATTATATAGAGTGAAAACTTTAGAACATATAAAGAAAACTTTAGAACATATAAAGAAAATATTTTGAACATAAAGAGAAAAGTTAAAATATAAAGGAAAACTTTAGAACAAAATGAATAACTTTATATTCTAAACATTAGAGCATATTGAATTACACTAAAACAGAAAGAATAAACATTAGAACATAGAGAAAACACTTTAGAACATAGAAAAGTAACTTTAGAACATAGAGAAAACACTTTAGAACATATTGAATTACTTTAGAACATAGAGAAAACACTTTAGAACATATTGAATTACTTTAGAACATATATGAATAACTTTATGTTCTAAACTTGCTTAGAACATAATTACTTTAGAACAAAATAAATAACTTTATGTTCCTAACATTAGAGCATATTGAATTACATTAAAACAGAAAGAATAAACATTATAGAAAAGTAACTTTAGAACATATTTGAATAACTTTATGTTCTAAAGTTGCTTAGAACATAGTTACTTTAGAGCATATTGAATTACTTTAAAACATAAATAATAAACTTTAAAACATAGAAAGAAAGTAACTCTAGAACTTAGAAAGTAACATATATTATTATTATTAATATATAATAATATGTTATAAATTTAAAATATATTATTATAACATATTATTATATATTAATTTTGACTTAAAACTTAAAGTTTAGAAAATTAGAACATAAGAAAATTAAAAATAAAGTTTACTTACGATATCACTTGACTTTTCCGGGGCAATTACGACTATCATGATAACCAAGCTCCCCACATGCTCTACATAATCTCTTCTTCTTTTGACTTTGTTCAATAGACTTTTCTCTGTCACTCTTCATTCTTTTGTCACTATTTGGAACATGAACCTCATTTAGAACATGGACATCATTTTGAACATTGACCTGATTTGGAACATGAACCTGATTTGGAACATGGACATCATTTGGAACATTGACCTGATTTGGAACATGAACCTGATTTGGAACATGGACATCATTTGGAACATTGACCTGATTTGGAACATGAACCCCCGTGCCTTTGTTCTTCGAAATTTTAGGAGGTTTGATTAAAACATTAGAAGGTAGACTAGCTCCAATAAGCATTTCAATGTCTTTAACTTTGCTCGAAAGATTGTTGCTTCCATTTGTTTTCTTCTGTTCCAAATCTACCCTCATGGCTCGAAGTTTTTTGACAAGATCACTAAGATCATCTTCATTGTTTTGCACTAAACTCACACAAGCATGAATTTCAGACCACAAATCATTTAATAGCATTTTCTTATCTACTGCATTAATACATTCCTCCAACACATTACCCTCTAAATAAAAAATGGGCTTCTTATAAGCCATTGTACACCATCTATTTAGAACGTAGGCCTTGGGAATTTTTTCTAACATCCTTGCCTTCCACACCCAAATCATATGCCTACAAGGCACACCATCACGTTCAAATTTTTTACAAAAACACTTGGTATCAAAGGTAGTTGGATCAAAAACAACATCAAAAGTCCTCCTCCTAGTTCCTTCCCTCAAATTGAAAATGTAAAGCTCATTGTCCTTCTTCATCTCCTCAACACCACAATTAAAACATCCAATTTCAAGCTCATATTGAAATTCATAGAAAATTGTTGTTGTAAACAATTCAGAAGCATCTTTCTCTAAAGGAATTGGAGTCTTACACTCCGGACGCTTATTCTTCGAATCATTATCCATTTTATTTTGAGTGTGCCTTTGAGCATCCAATGCACATTCCAACCTATAGAAAATAGAAATTAACTTTAAAACATAGAAGATAATTGTAGAACATAGAGTGAATTACATTAGAACATATAAATATACATGACATGCTTATTATGATCTAAATATTATTAAAACATAAAGAAAAAACTTTTCAACATGTAAGACAAAATTTAGAACATAAAAAGAGAACATAAAAGAGAATTATAAAATAAATAGTAAAACTATAAAGCATAAAAAGAAAACTTTAGAGCATACAAGGAAAACTTTAGAACATAAAGAGTAACTTTAGAACATATATAGACAATTACATATTACCTCATGTAGAACTCAATCAAAGTGAGATGGGGATTTGTGAACATAGTGAAAAAAATTATTTTCACTTTCTGATCTAGATGTGGTCCTCATAATGCCACCCAAAAATAAATCTCTGAAATACGCTGGAATCCACATATCACGTATGTTGTACATGTATGCCAACCATTCATGATCGTTCAAATGGAATTCTGAAATAACTTTGTTCCACTTTTCTTCAAATTCTGCCGGCTCAATCTCTAAATGCCAAACACATGAACACAATTTTTTCAAAAAATCAGTGTCTTGGGCAATTGCCCGACCTACTTTTTCAGGCACCTTTTTCATAATATGCCACATACAAAACCTATGATTTGTAGTTTGAAAAACATTACGAACAACAACTTTCATTGCAGGGTCTTGATCGGTAATCAAACACACAGGCTCGTTATTTCCCATTGCTTTAAGAAAAGTTTTGAAAACCCATTCAAAAGATGATATATCCTCATGAGCTACAAAAGAAGCCGCAAAAGTAACACATTTTTTATGATGATCAACTCCAGTAAATGGACCAAAGATCATATTATATCTGTAACATACACAAATTATTTATGCAGAAAATGTTACAAAATAGAGGTAAACTTTAGAACATAGAGGTAAATTGTAGAACATAGAGGTATACTTTAGAACATTAAGGATAAACTTTAGAGGATAGTAATTTACTTTAATTATTAAACTTGGCAGTAATATAGTTGTTTTAAAACATAATGAATTACTCTAAAACATAAACACTAAACTAAAAATATACAGTAAAGCTTTAAAAACTTATAAGTAAACTTTAGAACATATAGACATAATGTTTAGAACAAGATGGATATTAGTTTAGAACACAAAGAATAAAGTGTAAAACACAAAAGCATAATGTTTAAAGCATAAAAGCAAGATGGATATATTTTAAAGCATAAGGTAGAACATCAGCAATATATGTTTAGAACATAAGGCATACATAGTTTAGAACAAAGAATATATGTTTAGAACATCAAAACATGATGGATATTTGTTTAGGAACACAAGACATGATATTTAGAATATAAGAACATATGTTTAAAAAATTAATATGTAAAAGTAAAATATTAATTACATTATGAAAGAAATTTATATTTAAAACATCACCTGTTTGTTTTGAATGTGGTATCAAAAGAAACCATATCACCAAAAAGTGCATAATTTTTTCGACAGATAGGATCAGCCCATAAAGCTCTACAAAGTCTATCTTCTTCATCAACATCATAGGAAAAAAAAATGCACTCCAAAGCACTTTCTTATTTTGAAAATTATCCACAAACATTTGGGCATCTGATCCATCAATATAAGCCTTCAAATCTCTATAAAAATTTTTGAAATCTTGTTTAGATGCACCAACATTATCATGTGATCCAGCTAATTCTTTCATCATAGTATAAGACCTCACAGGACCAACATTTACCTGTTAAAAAAAAAAAAATACTAAGATTAAGAATCAACTTTAGAACATAGTAAATCAAAACAAAGAAAACATTATTTAGTACATAAAAATGAATCACCTTTGAATTATCAACAATCAACTTTTTATGCATAATATGCATTTTTCTATTATCCTTCTGAAATTTTGCACAACTTGGAGTATATAAAGGATGATTATGTTCTTCTTTGAAATGAGTTACAACATACTTTCCAGCATCATATCTCATACATATGTGAGCATTGCATCCTACACGAGTGACTAAACGTTTCCTAGTAATATGAACTTTTCCTTCTTCATAAACTGTTTGTTGAGCAATAGGTTTTCTTATTGCCCTAAAACCTTCCTTATTGCAAACTCCATATTGAAAAGCAATTATATCTTTGTTATTCTTCTTCCTTTTAGTAGTAGATTTCCTAGAAGTAAACCCAGCGGCATTTGCATATGCTTTATAAAAACTAAGACCCTCTCCAGGATCTTTAAATATCATACCCAAACTGGGTTTTAACTCCTTGGGAACATTTGGAATCCATTCCTTAGTGGTACCACCAGGGCTAAATGATCCAACAACCTCTGGAGTACGATAAATATCACCAACTGCATCAGAACATGAAAGTAAACATTAGAACATACAATGAAAGTCATAGAATATGAAGAAAACATTAGCACATAATAAAAAACTTTATAATATAAAGAGAAAGATACATAGAAAACTTTAGAACATACAGAGAAAACTTTAGAACATCAAGGATAACCTTTAGAACATAGTAAATTAGGGACATACTTATAACATATTGCTTTAGAACATAGTGAATTACTTTATAACATACATAATAAAATTTAGAATAAAGTAAAAAAATTAAACTAAAAGGTTAACTTTAGAACATACAATGAAAGTAAACATTAGAACATAAAAAGTAAAATTTAAAACTAGAAGGTAAACTTTAGAACATAGAATGAAAGTTTTAGAATATAAAGATAAAGTAGGATTCCCTACTCCCTATGTCAGATTGGTGGGGCCATGGTTTGGTGATTCCAGTGGCAGTGACATGCATCAACTATCCCTATGTCAGATTGCTAGGATAAAGTAGCATTCCCAACTCCCAAGCCCCCAATGCCTAGCTCCAAGACGAGCCTTGAGGTTGTTGTGGCATTATCCAATAATGATCGATATTGTTTACCCACAGTTTACTTTGAATCATTACAAATTATTTAAAATGGAGTAGATATTTTTTATTTATCAAATTAATTAACTTCCTCAATAATGATCAATATTGTTTACCCACACGTACTACTTTTTATAATCCTTCATCAACCACTCTTTCATACTCCGATGTATTCTGCATTCTAAAAGGAGTTCAATAGGCAACGGAACATGGCATTTGCACTTATCATTCGGATGGGAACATATAGAGAAAACTTTAGAACATTACCGATAAACTTTAGAACATAGTAAAGAAACTTTAGAACATGTAAGTAAATTGAAATTAAAACATTAAAAACAATAAAATTACCTGAATGAGTAACACAAGAAGAAGGATAATTAGGTTGAACACCATCTAAATCCATCAATATGCAAAAACCTATTTAAAAAAACACATATTGTAGCAAAAAAGCAACTAGAAATTAAAATCCATTAAAAAACAAAAATATGGAAAAAAAACTCAAGCAAAGGAAAAAACAGAACAATCTGGAAATGAAAAATCACAAAAAAAAACAGAAAATTAATGAAAAAAAACTGAAGAAAATTCGCAAAAAAAAAAAAAAAATAGATAAAATCGAAAAAAAACAAAAAATAATTGCTCGAAAGTAGGAAAAAAAAACAAAAAAACATATAACATTGAAAAAATCTGGAAATGAAAAATCGAAGAAGAAAGAGAAAACTAGAAAATGAAATTGATGAAATTAATGAAAAAAACTCAAGAAAATTCACAAAAAAAAAAAAAAAAAAAAAAAAATTCAACATAAACTTACATTAATCTCAATAATAAAAAAAATGAATGATGAAATCGCAAAAAGAAAAAAAAAACAGATTTTTGCTGATTTTCGAATTGATGAATTGCATATCCACAAATAATATGAAAAATAAAATTTCACACAAATTCGCCAAAATAAAAAAAAATCAACAAAAATTCGCAAAGAATAGATATCAATAAATAAATTAACTAAAAGAATTATCAAAATTATAAAAATTGAATAACAAACCTTAATTTCTTGAAGGAATTTGCATCCAAAAGTATGAGAAGAGAGAGAGTTGTAATGTATGAGAGGAGAGAGAAAGAGTTGTAAATTTGTAATGTATGAGAGGAGAGAGAGAGCTGTAATGTTCAAAGCCCAAAAAAAAAAGGAAAGAAGAACCGTGAATGAGGAGAAAGAAAGGGAAAAGAACAGCAAAAATTACTAAAATGCCATTACTAATCATTCATTTTCAGCGGTCAGATCAAACTAATTGTACGGTCCACATTAGTTCTTATATATAATGGGTTCTTATATAGAGGAGGGTTCTTACATGAGCCTTCCTCTATATATATATATATATATATATATATATATATATATATATATATATATATATATATATATATATATATTTTGAAAAAAGTCCAAAAGGATACTAAATTTCAAGAATATGATAGATATTTATTATACTACAAATGTAAGCCTTGACCATAGAGAGAAAGTATAATAACCTTGGAGGCCACCCAACATTCTCCACCTTGGCACAAATTCCATAATAGTGTGTACTCGTTGTATATGAACCATTGAACCCCGAAGGGTATTAGGCAGATATGTCACGTGCTAAACACTAATCAATCAATACAGAACTACTACCTCCGTTAATTATTATGTGCAACAAAGGAATATTTTATGTATCATAAATAATACCCCTTTATTGCACATAATAGTTAACGGAGGTAGTATTCTTTATTGATTGATAATCAACAAAGAGATCCCTCTGAAAACAAACATGCTAACTACAACCAGAATTAAGAACCCAGTTAGAATTTCTACTTTTAGGATGACAAGTAGCCAAAAGAAAAACTTCATAATCTGAATCAACAACATTAATTTGTTTCTTTTCATTTTCTTCTCTTTCGAGCTTTCTCTTAAGTTTGTAACAGTTGAAAACATCATGCCGATGCATCTTGCAATATTTGCAAGATAAGTTGGAATTATATCCCGATGATCTAGCTTAGACTGCTTTTTGGTACTTGAATTACTACCCACAATATACAGACCTTCAAAAGATTTGTCAACACCATCAAGATCGTATTTCTCTTTAGACAAAAGATTAGATTTAACATCCTCATAGGACAAAGTTTCTTTATTGCCACAAAGCATGGTTTCCTTGAAGTGTTTAAAAGATTTGGGTAGTAAGACAACCAATAAAATTGCGTTAATTATCTTCATTATCAATTTTAACTTCTAAGTTTTCAAGATTAATTAAAATAGAGGTGACCTCATCAAGATGAGTTTGGATAGGAGTACCTTCTGTCATGCGAATTGTGTACAATCGCTCTTTGAGACGCAACTTGTTGGCAAGACTCTTGGTCATGTATAGTGACTCCAATTTCAACCATAGGCTTGTAGCCGAAGTTTGGTGAATGACTACACAAACCTCCTTGGACAGATAGAGTTGAAGAACTGATAAGGCTTTCTCATCTAATTCCTCCCATTGCTCATCGGTCATAGTAGATGGCTTTTTGATTTGCCATATGCATCTAATGCCTTCTTCAAACCGCTATAGGTAAGAATAGTTTCCAAGTGCTGAAACTAATCTTGCCACCAAACTTCTCTATATCAAAATTTGTCATCAAAGACATCTTAGAAAGATTTAAAAAATGCTCAAAAAACCTTTGGCTCTAATACGACTGTTAGGATTAGGAGCGCAAGTGGAAGCACAAAATGATATAGAGTAAGACATAGATAAAAGATGTTCAAAAATAGTAATAAGAGACACAAATTTAACGTGGGAAAAACCCTCAAATGAGATAAACAACCCACCAACAACAAGTACTAATTATCCAAACTATGAAAAAGGATATGAGAGTATAACCCCGAAGGGTACAAGAGTATGGTATGACTCTCTAGATTATATATATTGGATCTAACTCTCAAAGAGAGCTAAGAAACTCACTAATGAGATAATAGTTGTGTGTCTTGTGTCATGTCCCCAAAACAAGAGGAATATGATGGATATTTATACTACATATGTAAGCATTGACCTTGGTGAACGAGCAAGTATAGTAACCTTGGAGGCCAAGGGTCTTTATGCCTTGGAGTCTTGGAGACCAACAAAAAAGTATTCTAAGTAGTAATAATAACTTAATTTGTGACATGTATCCAACAAAAATAAGTATAAGTACAACTATTATGTTGAAATAACTTAATTCACCTTTTGATGTGTGATTTTAGCATGTATTATAAAATTAATATTTAATACTTTGATTTACTATTTATCTATATATTTTATTTTATACAATATTTTAACCATTAAATTTTGTATGTATTAATTAATAAAATAATTATATATATAGTTATATTATTATATTTTGATAATTACATTTATACTAATCCAACAACATTTTACATACTACCTCCGTTTCATATTTTTTTGCAACTGTGGAATATTTTATAACTCACAAATAATACCCCAAAGTTGCAAAAAATATGAAACGGAGGTAGTATAAATATTCAATTTATTTTATTCTAATCTAAAAAAAAATTATAGTCAAAGTTAATAGATCAATAAGCCAAATATCTTTTTTAACCTTATGATTTTAATTTCACAGTTCACAATGTTCATCTTTGACTCTGTATATATTTAATATGATATGAGTAAAATTTCTACAAATAATTGTATTGAAAATACATTTCAGGCAAGAAAAACACACATGACATAGTTTTGATATTTAAAATAGTAAATTATAATGTAAAGAATAAAAAGAAACAATGGGTATTAATTTAATGTTGATGACTAACATCTACTACTGTCTAAAATATAAAAATTTAATTGATAATCAATTAATGTCATTTACTAGTATGTTAATAGTAAGTTTTGATTGATTATTTGATTGTGTTTTTCTATAATTGTGATTTTAAACTAACAACTTATGAGATAATCAATTGTTCAATACTCCCCAACCCAATAGTACATGTCTAATAAAAATAAAATATGAATATTAAGGTTATTCTAGGGGGACACCATAGCCTCACCTTAACTTATAGGAAAAATATACTTTAATAATCTCAATTATTGGCAATTTACCCGCAATAGTCTCAACTGACGTTAATTTTCTAATAATCCTAACTAGTGTCCCAATTTTCCTCTAGCAGTCCCAACCAATCACTTACCTACTAGTGCAACTTATAATCTTACGTGGAATTTCTTTTCTTTAAAATTTGATTTCCTTCCTTTTTTTGTATTATTAGTAATCAGAGTCAGTCCTATTTTTTTTTGCCGTTATTTCTTCTCTTTTCTCTCTTATGTCTTCTCTCCACCTCTCCCCTGTTTAAGTGTTTGGATTAATATTTTTTTCTTTTGGATACTCCTTCGAATTAACAATGACTATTGGAAGGAATCAATTTGGTGGGTCTCCAACATCATCTTCAAGCTCAAGGGGAGGAATATATGCTACCAAAAGATGTAATTGATGGTTGGATGCGATTGTACGTACGGTGAAGAAGGGCCCTAATATTGGTTGTAAATGAAAGGAATGGTGTCCTTCGAACAAGTGTATTATTCTGATAGCGGGTTCAGAATTATTAGAAAGCTAATATATTCAGTAAGGTCAAGTGATCGGAATGCTTGGGTGGAGGCCGCTTCCGATCAGTAATATTAATAAAATTAATATTACAGCTTAATCTTGACTGAACCCTTCGGGTCACACCCAAGCAAAATATACGAACCGACTCGACGAATTAATTCGGAAGAAATTAATTCGTCGCTCGAGTGTTAAATATTTAGACGTCGGTAATTCGAGCTTGGAGCGTCGAAACTGATTGTCGGAAGTCGAGTAAAAAATAATAAAAAAACGAGACGTGCAAAATAATAATAAATCGACCATATTCCCAAAATACCCCTAGCATCGGAATGCCACGAGCATCCGAATGCCAGGGGAAAAAATGTCCAAGCATAGGTGGCTAGCAAGCGCACAAAGTCGAGCCTAGCATGTCTGGCTAGGTGCGTGCTAGCGCACCGTGCTAGCAGCCATGCACAGCAGCAGCTAGCAGCCGCGTGCACGTGGTGCGTGCAGCAGCTAGCTGCCGCAAGCTAGGCATGCTAGCAGCGCACGCACTAGCAGCCACGCACAGCAGCAAGCCCGCACCAAGTGCGTGGCTTGCGCGCACAGCAGTAGCCCGCATCTTGGTGCGGGGCTGGGCTCGTGGCTGGGCCATAAGGCCGATCACTATGGGGAAGCTTGAGGAATATAGGAGCAAGTGGGTAAGGACATGAGGCACAAGGAGAGTATTGAGTGGGGAGCAAGTATGGTCCCCTACTCTCCATGTGGTCCTCACCAACCCATTTCACATGGTAATGCCACTTGTAGATTTATTATTAGTTTGCAATTTTAATTTAATTTAGCTTTAAATTAATTTGTGAAAATTCATGATCCCACATTGATGGGATAGAAATTCTCACTCATACTTTCCTCTATAAATACAAC